CCTTCGTGTCCCCGCTGTCGCCCTTCGTGACCTACTTCGTGCCCTTCGTGGCCCTGCTGTCGTTCTCTCTCGCTCTCGCTTTCGCTCGTCGTCGCCGTCGTCGTCGTCGCCGTCGTCTTCGACGTCGTCGTCGTCGTCGTCGTCGTCGTGGTCGGTCCCCTGTCCGTCCCTCTTGGGGTCGGGTCGACGGTCCGCGGCCGCCCCGCCGATCAGCGCTGCCGCTGGCCAGGCCGACGGTCCGCGGCCGCCCCGCCGCTTGCCGGGGCCCGGCCTGCAGGGGAGACAGGTATACCCCCCAAAAGGGGTTCGATAGAAGACGAAGAGGGCGGGTATCGAGGGTTTGGGAAATAGGCGCTCTTGGACACTCGAGCAAATAAGTGCGAACAATCTTGAAATGATTGTTGTTGTTGTTGTTGTTGTTGTTGTTGTTGTTGTTGTTGTTGTTGTTGTTGTTGTTGTTGTTGTTGTGGTTGTTGTTGTTGTTGTTGTTGTTGTTGTTGTTGTTGTTGTGGTGGTTGTTGTTGTTGTTGTTGTTGTTGTTGTTGTTGTTGTTGTTGTTGTTGTTGTGGTTTTGTTCCCAACCAACCTGTGTTGTTGGGTCCTCGTTTTGAAGAGACGGTCCCCGCGTTCCTCCTTCCTTCCTCCTCCCCCCTCCTCCCCCTCCCACACCCATTCTGGCACACCCCTCACACGTTTCGTGGCCCCATAGGGAGCTCCACCGAAGGCCCCAGTGGCTGCGCCCGCATGCGGTTCCACCCCCCATTCTGGCACACCCCTCACACGTTTCGTGGCCCCATAGGGAGCTCCACCGAAGGCCCCAGTGGCTGCGCCCGCATGCGGTTCCACCCCCCATTCTGGCACACCCCTCACACGTTTCGTGGCCCCATAGGGAGCTCCACCGAAGGCCCCAGTGGCTGCGCCCGCATGCGGTTCCACCCCCCATTCTGGCACACCCCTCACACGTTTCGTGGCCCCATAGGGAGCTCCACCGAAGGCCCCAGTGGCTGCGCCCGCATGCGGTTCCACCCTCCATTCTGGCACACCCCTCACACGTTTCGTGGCCCCATAGGGAGCTCCACCGAAGGCCCCAGTGGCTGCGCCCGCATGCGGTTCCACCCTCCATTCTGGCACACCCCTCACACGTTTCGTGGCCCCATAGGGAGCTCTGGCACACCCCTCACACGTTTCGTGGCCCCATAGGGAGCTCCACCGAAGGCCCCAGTGGCTGCGCCCGCATGCGGTTCCACCCCCCATTCTGGCACACCCCTCACACGTTTCGTGGCCCCATAGGGAGCTCCACCGAAGGCCCCAGTGGCTGCGCCCGCATGCGGTTCCACCCCCCATTCTGGCACACCCCTCACACGTTTCGTGGCCCCATAGGGAGCTCCACCGAAGGCCCCAGTGGCTGCGCCCGCATGCGGTTCCACCCCCATTCTGGCACACCCCTCACACGTTTCGTGGCCCATAGGGAGCTCCACCGAAGGCCCAGTGGCTGCGCCCGCATGCGGTTCCACCCCCCATTCTGGCACACCCCTCACACGTTTCGTGGCCCCATAGGGAGCTCCACCGAAGGCCCCAGTGGCTGCGCCCGCATGCGGTTCCACCCCCCATTCTGGCACACCCCTCACACGTTTCGTGGCCCCATAGGGAGCTCCACCGAAGGCCCCAGTGGCTGCGCCCGCATGCGGTTCCACCCCCCATTCTGGCACACCCCTCACACGTTTCGTGGCCCCATAGGGAGCTCCACCGAAGGCCCCAGTGGCTGCGCCCGCATGCGGTTCCACCCCCCATTCTGGCACACCCCTCACACGTTTCGTGGCCCCATAGGGAGCTCCACCGAAGGCCCCAGTGGCTGCGCCCGCATGCGGTTCCACCCCCCATTCTGGCACACCCCTCACACGTTTCGTGGCCCCATAGGGAGCTCCACCGAAGGCCCCAGTGGCTGCGCCCGCATGCGGTTCCACCCCCATTCTGGCACACCCCTCACACGTTTCGTGGCCCCATAGGGAGCTCCACCGAAGGCCCCAGTGGCTGCGCCCGCATGCGGTTCCACCCCCCATTCTGGCACACCCCTCACACGTTTCGTGGCCCCATAGGGAGCTCCACCGAAGGCCCCAGTGGCTGCGCCCGCATGCGGTTCCACCCCCCATTCTGGCACACCCCTCACACGTTTCGTGGCCCCATAGGGAGCTCCTCCGAAGGCCCCATAGTGGCTGCGCCCGCATGCGGTTCCACCCTCCATTCTGGCACACCCCTCACATGTTTCGTGGCTCCATAGGGAGCTCCACCGAGCGCCCCAGTGGCTGCGCCCGCATGCGGTTCCACCCCCCCATTTCGGCACACCCCTCACTCGTTTCGTGGCCCGGGGGCGCCACCGAAGAATATAATCACAATTGCGGTATACTCAACTACGTATGGTTGGGTCTTTCGTCAGGCTAATTTTTTGTTATTGTTCCCCCAACCGTCCTGGTGATGGGTCCTCGTTTTGAAAAGACAGCGCCCCGCGCTTTCCTCCTTCCTGCCTCCTTCCTCCCTCCTCCTCCTCCTCCTCCTCCTCCTCCTCCTCCTCCTCCTCCTCCCTCCTCCCTGCGTTTTCCCCACCTAGTATAGCGTTTCGTGCCCCCATGGGGATCTCCATCGAAGGTCCCTGTGGCGGAACTCGCATGCCGTCCCTGCGCCCAGTGCAGCGCTTCTTGGCCCCATAGGGAGCTCCACCGAAAGTCCCAGTGGCAGAACTCGCATGTGGTTCCTGCGCCCACTGCAGCGTTTGGTGGCCCCATAGGGGGCTCCACCGAAGGTCCCAGAGGCGAATCTCGCATACGTTTCCTGCGCCCAGTGCAGCGTTTTGTGGCCCCACAGGGAGCTCCACCGAAGGTTCCAGTGGCGGAGCTCGCATGCGCCTGGTGCGGTGTTTCGTGGCCCCATGTGGAGTTCCTCAGAAGCTTCGAGTGGCGAAACTCGCATGCGGTTCCTGCGCCCAATGCGGTGTTTCGTGCCCCCATGGGGAGGTCCACCGAAGGTCCCAATGGTGGAACTCGCATGCGGTTCGTGCGCCCAGTATAATGTTTCGTGGCTCCATATGGAGCTCTACGGAAGGTCCCAGTGGGGGAACTCGCATGCGCTTCCTGCGCCCGGTGACGTGTTTCGTGGCCCCATAGGGAGCTCCACCGAAGGTCTCAGTGGCGGAAGTGGCATGCTGTTACGGCGCACAGTACAGCGTTTCGTGGCCCCATAGGGAGCTCCACCGAAAGTCCCAGTGGCAGAACTCGCAAGCGGCTCCTGCGCCAAGTGCAGCGGTTCGTGGCCCCACAAGGAGTTCCACTGGAGGTCCCAGCGGCACAACTCGCAAGCGGTTCCTGCGCCCAATGTGTTTTTTCATGGCCCCATAGGGAGCGCACCTTTCGCGCGCTTCGTGGCCTCATAGCGTGGGCGCGAGCGGTCCACAGCCAGTCTTCTCTCCTTCCTGAGAAATTCTGTTTTGGGCCGTCGGCTGTCTGGTTCGCCTCTCCCTCGGCCGACGTGGCTCAGTGCCGGTCGTCCGCTGCGCGGAGCAAAGAGAGCTGACTCGCTGGCCGATTGCGGGAAAGGCTCTGGCCGCTGGGCAGAGCGGCGCCATGCGAGCGAGGCGCCGGGCAGAGCGAAGCGTGGAGTTCCCGCGACGCGCGCCGGTCGCTCCGACAGGGCCCCAGCGACGCGCGCGGGTTGTCCGCGGCACGGGGCCAAACAGTCAGACCGTCGAGAGAAGGCGAGGCTCGGGCGGGCCGCTCCCCTGATCAGGCCTCGCGGATAAAGTCGGCGAAGCCCAGCTCCCTGGCGAGGGCCGTCGCCTCCCTCCGACACCGCTTAGTGCGCGCCGCAAGCTGCTCCAGCTGCTTCCGCAAACCGTCCGGCGGCCCTGCCAGGAAAAACTCGATTCGCGGCGCCCGCATGAGCAGGAGGTCCTCGTGCTGCGTGGCGCGCGAGAGTAGCGCGTAGAGCTCCGGCTGCCAGTCGTCGCTCTGCGCTGCGCCCGCAGCCTGGGGCTTTGGAGTGCGCAAGCGCAGAGGGAGGAAAAGAAAGGAAGGACAATCTTGGGCGGTCGAGCTTTTCTCTCTATCCCCGCCAAACAGATCGCGGACAGAGGGAGCTGGGTCGAAGGCCCCATAGGGGGCTCCACCGAAGGCGCCAGGTGCAGCGCCCGCGCGCCGCCGCAGTTCCATTCTGGCGCGCCCCTCGCGCAGTTCGCGCCTCCGTTAAGAGCCCCGAAGACGACATCCACAGATGCGGGGCTCGCAGCCAGGCAGTTTTTTCGGGGGCCGCCCCCTGCGTTCCGTGCTGGTGGTATTTGTTTGGGCTAACCTTGCGTCCCAGATCACTCCTGCTCGTCCATTCTTTCCCTCGGGGGTTCAATCGCTGCAGGAAGTAACGGTAGTTTCCTGGAACAGCCCTTGGCGGAACTTGTCCGGAAGTATTGTTAATAACTTGTCGAAGAGTTCGATGAATTTGTTTCGTTTCGTTTCGATGACTTCGATTCTTTCTCCCAGAGAAGCAGCCCCCAGCTGAACGTTCAACTTCGTTTCTTTACAGTTCGTTTCCTTGAACGGCCGCTCGTGTCCTGAACACCGTTCTCCCAATCGCGAGCTTCTTGGAAATTCCAGAGCCACTTCCCAGGCGGTTTCAACGACGCAAACAGTCAATCAGATATTATACCATTATCATATCCTCTCATCCATCTGACAGCATCCTCATTACAAGCCTTTTCTTTCCCCTCCACCTCCTCGTCGCTCTTCCCATTTCACTGCTCCATTTTCCCATTCCTCCGCCTGCTTTCCCGGCTCTTCATCCGAATGCTCCTAGGGCTGGAGTTTTTATGCGCTTCCCCCTCGGCTGTCCCCACATCGTGGAGCCTTCGCGGGCTGCCGATCCGATCCGATCCGATCCTCGTGCTCTTCTCTCCCCCTTCTCCCCTCCCCCCCCCCGCCCACGCCTTCCTCCCCCCCCCTCGCCCCACGGCCCCGCAGGTCGCACCAGAGAGGAAGACTCCTCGGAGGCGCCAGCCTTGGTGCGCGCGCGCGCGCTCGTACCCCTTGCCATTGCTGCCTCACGGTTTTCGCCTCGTCGCACGACCTCCTGCTGCACCGAGGGTTATGGTTTTGTAGGGATTGTGGAGGGTGGGCGGCGGCTGAATCTTTCAAACTCGGAGGTCCTTGCTCCGAAGAGGCGGGTAAAGACGGCAAGAGGGGCTTTGCGACGAATGCGACACGACCAATTCTCTAAGGGATGCAGTTGGTGGCCGCATAGAAGTGGGAAGGGTCAGGCAGGTCTGGAGGTCATCAGAGACCTCTGCCAGGCCAGCCCCGCCTGGCGGTAGTGCAGCAGGAGCTTTTTTTGGATTGGGAAGCAGGCTATTACAGCGGAGACGGAACAAAAGTAGGAGGCAGCAGGATGAAGAGGATAGATGATGATGACGACAATGTTGTTGTTGATGATGATGATGATGATGTTGGCGATGATGATGACGATGATGATGATGCTGATGATGGTGGTGGTGGTGATGATGATGATGATGATGTTGATGGTCCTGGTCATTGTGATTGTGATGACGGTGACAATGGTTAGGATGGTGTTGATGTTGTCTGTTTTATATGAGGTTGATGATGCGGCCGATGATGCTGGTGATGATTATGCTGGTGATGATTTCGACGGCGACGGTGATGATGATGCGGAGGATGATGATGACGATGATGGTGCTGCTGCTTATGATGATGCTGACGGTGATGATGGCGATAAATCATGTTGGTGATGGTGACGATGATGATGGTGATTATGAGGCTGATAATTTTGATGACGACGGCACTGCTGGTGATGATGATGGTGACGATGATGAGCGTGATGATGGTGGTGATGGTGCTGGTGACGATGATGACGATGATGATGATGACGGCGATGATACTGATGATGATGGTGTTGATGATGATGATGAGGATAAAGGGGACGAGGAGGAGGAACATGAACAGGAGGAACAGAAACAGGAGGAGGAGGGGATGATGATGATGCTGTCGATGATGAGGATGATTGATGCTGCTGATGATGTCGATGATGATGATGATGACGAAGATGAGGATGAGGATGAGGATTAGTATTAGGATTAGGATGAGGATGAGCGTGATGATGATGATGACGATGAGGATGAGTCTGAGGATGATGATGCTGCTGTTGATGATAATGGTGGTGATGATGGTGATGACGATGATTACGACGACGATAACGATGCTGCTGTTGATGATAATGGTGGTGATGATGGTGGTGATGATGATGATGGTGATGAACACGATGATGGTGGTGATGGTTCTGGTGACGATGATGATGACGACGATGATGATGGTGTTGATGATGATGAAGGGCGCCCCGTCTGGGGGCGGCGACCCCGCCGCGGACCGCTCGGCGAGATCTTGCCGTCGCGACCGCCGCCAGTTGCGCTGTCATTATCGATGTCGTCCTTGCCATCGCCGCCGCCAGTTTGGCCGTTCCCGGCGGCGGCGCCGGCGCGAAGGGCGAGCCAACGCCCTTCGGCCGTGACCGCGCGCCATTGCGGGGCCGGTTCAGCCAAGCCAGCTCCTCTGCAGAGCTGTCCAGCAGCACATTTGTGCACCCTTCGTCGGCCTTTCATGGTTTTCGTCACCGTCGTCGTCGTCGTCGTCGTCGTCGTCGTCGTCGTCGTCGTCGTCGTCGTCGTGGTGTTCTCCGCCGCCGCCGCGGCCGCTGCCGTCGTCGTCGTCGTCGTCGTCGTCTTCGTCGTCGTCGTCGTCGTCGTCGTCGTCATCGTCGTCGTCGTCGTCGTCGTCGTCCTTGGTCTCCTCTTCCTCTTCCTCCATCTCCTCCTCTGCCTCTGCGTTCTCCTCCTCTTCTTCCTCTTATTCCTCGTTGATCTCGTCGGGTAGGAGGTGTGTGAAGGAGGGTGGGCGTGTCAGTAGGGAAGGAGAGAGTAAAGGAAGAGGAGAGGATGAGGACGACGAGGAGAGGGAGGAGGGCCAGGATGATGATAAAGGAGAGGGGGGGCGAGGAGGGAACGATCCCTTCTGAAAGCGCTCTCTTTTGGAGTGGCTTCTCCACTCTTTTCAGTTCTTTCTCAAGGTCTTGACGGCTCTGTATATTGTTTCCTTGTGAGGTGGATGTGGAAATTCATGATTGGTGCAGCGGGTTTACATGTGGGCCCTTACTGCGACGGATTTGCACACTGATTCCATGTACTTTTTCATTTTGTATCGAAGACGCCTACGGCCAATCACCGCCGCCCCCTGCCTTTTTGGAAGTGCCCATGTGGCCGAACGTTGAGGCCAGACCTGCCAAGCTATCGGACCATGTGTTCCCCGAATCGGTTTGGAAAGCCTTCGGGGTACACGTGGGCATCTTGAAGGTCATCTTGGCCGCCTGGAGGCCATTTTGACCCTTTCGGACCTTCTTGGAGGACGTCTTTGAGGGCTCTTGGGCCGTCTTCGAGGCCATCTTGAGCGTCTTGGAGGCCTCTTGGGCTGTCTTGGGGGCCTCTTGGACCGTCTTGGGCCTCTTGGTCGATCTTTGGGGGCACTTGGGCCGCCTTGGGCCGCCTTGGGCCGTCGGAAGGCAGAAAACTAGCAAACGCCACAATCCTCCAAACTCTCTTGGGAAATCAATGATTTTGGGGTCTTTTCGGGCCTTCCTGGAGGCCCTCTTGGAGGCCTCTTGAGCCGTCTTGGGCCATCTTAGGGCCATCTTCGGCCGTCTTGGTGGACCCCTGGCCCGTCCGACGCCGTCAGAAGCCGTTTGGGGGGCCTCGCTGAGCCGACTTGGGGCCCTCTTGGAATGCTCCAGGGCCGTCTTGGAGGCCATCTTGGGCGTCTTAAAAGCCTGTTGGGCCGTCTTGGGGGCCCCTTGGGGCCGTCTTGGGGACCTCTTGGACTGTTCTGGGGCCATCTTGGAGGCCCCTTGGGCGATCTTTGGGTGATCTTTGGGGGCTCTTGGGCCGCATCGGGCCGTCGGAAGGCCAAAACGAAGCAAATGTCAACATCCTTCAATAACCACTGGAAATCTATGTTTTTTGCCTTTTCTGGCCTTCCTGGAGGCTCTCTTGGAGGCCTCTTGGGCCGTCTTGGGCCAGCTTCGAGCCAACTTCGGCCATCTTGGTGGGCTCCTGGCCCGTCTGACGCCGTCGGAAGCCGTTTGGGAGGTCTTTTTGGGCCGACTTGGGGCCCTCTTGGGGTGCTCCAGGGCCGTCTTGGAGGCCATCTTGGGCGTCTTAAAGGCCTCCTGGGCTGTCCTGGGCGCCTCTTGGGGCCGTCTCGGGGGCCTCTTGGGCAGTCCCGAGGCCATCTTGGAGGCCTCTTGGGCGCTGTGGGGGCGATCTTGGGGGCCTCGTGGGCCGTCTTGGGTCGTCGGAAGGCCGAGAAGAAGCGAATGCCAAAATCCTTCATGAACCTTAGGAAAATCAATGATTTTGGCCTCTTTGGGCCCTCCTGGGGGACCTCTTGGAGGCCTCTTGGAGCGTCTTGGAGGCCTCTTGGGGGCCATCTTGGACCATCTCTAGGCCATCTTGGCCATCTTGGAAGACATCATGTCGGCCATCTTCGATCATCTTGGCCATCTTGCAGGCCATCTTGGGCCATCTTCGCGATTTTCTGAGGATGTCCCTAGCGAAACGGCCGTTTTTGGGGCTTTGCAGCCGCCTCTGGGCAAGCGTCCCGGGACCCCGGCGGGACGGGTCGAAGCCCCAGGGTGAGTTCTTTAAAGGACCAAAGCCAAAACCGAGAGGGTCCAGCACGCCAGGCACCCTTGCGATGAATCGACAGGGGGCGGCGGATCGAAGACGCCTACGGCGAATCACCGCCGCCCCCTGCCTTTTTGGAAGCGCCTATGTGGCCGAACGTTGGGGCCAGACCTGCCAAGCCATCGGACCATGTGTTCCCCGAATCGGTTTGGAAAGCCTTCGGGGAACACGTGGGCATCTTGAAGGTCATCTTGGCCGTCTTGGAGGCCTCTTGGGCGATCTTTCGGCGATCTTTGGGGGCTCTTGGGCCGTTTTTGGCCGTCGGAAGGCCAAAGAAGGAAATGTCAAAATACGTCAACAACCTCAGGAAAATCAATGTTTTTGGCATCTTCTGGCCTTCCTGGAGGCCCTCTTGGGGGCATCTTGGGCTGTCTTGAGCCAGCTTCGAGCCAACTTCGGCCATCTTGGTGGGTTCCTGGCACGTCTGACGCCGTCGGGAGCCGTCTTGGGGGCCTTTCTGGGCCAAGGGGGGACCCTCTTGGGGCGCTTCGGGGCCGTCTTGGAGGCCATCTTGGGCGTCTTGGAGGCCTTCTTGGGCGTGTTGGAGGCCTCTTGGGCCGTCTTAGGGCCCTCTTGGGGCCATCTTGGAGGCCACTTGGGCCGTCATGGGGCGCTCTTGGGGGCCTCTTGGGCGATCTTGGGGGCCTCTTGGGCCGTCTTGAGCCGTCGGAATGCCGAGAAGAAGCAAATTCCCAAATCCTTCAAAAACCTAGGGAAATTCAATGATTTCGGCCTCTTCGGGCTCTCCTGGAGAACCTCTCGACGGGCTCTTGAGCTGTCCTTGGGGCCTCTTAGGGGCCTCTTGGGTCGCCTTGGGCCATCTTGAGGCTATCTTAGGCAGTCTTGGGTACATCTTGGGACGTCTCGGAGACATCTTAAAGCCATCTTAGCCGTCTTGGAGGCCATCCTGGCCGTCTTGGAGGCATCTTGGAGGCCATCTTGGAGCCGTCTTGGGCAGGAAATTGGGGACTTGAGGTCCTTTGCAATCCTCCCGGGACCCCGGCGGGGCGGGCCGAAGCCCCAGGGGGAGTTCTTCTGGAAAAAGAGCCAAAACCAAAACCGTAATAGTCTGGCACGCCAGGCACCCCTGTGATGAATCAACAGGGGGCGGCGGATGACGGAAAGCGCGCGTTAGCGTGCGGTCCGTTAGTCGGAAGAAATTGGACTTGGGGGAGTTCGAGGGGGTTGGCATCGCGGGGCCCGGATGACGGAAAGCGCGCGTTAGCGTGCGGTCCGTTAGTCGGAAGAAATTGGACTTGGGGGAGTTCGAGGGGGTTGGCATCGCGGGGCCCGGATCTAATTGCCCTCCCGCCTCGTTTTTCCCAACCATCCTGTGGTGTTGGGTCATCGTTTTGAAGAGACGGTGGCCCGCGTCTCCCCTCCTCTCCTCCTCCTCCCCCTCCTCCCCCCTCCTCCC